AGCAGAGCCCGGGCAGGACACCGGGTTAGCCAGAAGGATCCAGTCCCAGGCCGGGCAACAGAGCCCGGGTAGCAGGGCCCAGGCAGGACGCCGGGTTAGCCAGAAGGTTTCTGTCCCAGGCCGGGCCGGGACAGCCTCAGGCAGGACGCCGGGTTTGCCAGAAGGGCCGGTCCCGGGCCGGGCAGCAGGGCCCAGGCAGGACACCGGGCCGGGACAGGCCAGGCTCAGGCAGAGACGTCCGGTCCCGGGCCGGGCCAGCCTGAGCGGAGCGCGGGGCGCAGGGCCTCGCCCGGGCAGCCCCCGGCTCGCAGCGCGGCCCCCGGCTCGCAGCGCGGCCCCTCACCTTGACGCAGTCGATGGGGTACATCACGCAGTGCTCCAGCACCCCCGCCACGGCCCCGGCCAGCATGTGGGTGGAGACGGCGGCGCCCTGCGGCAGCGCCTCGTAGTCAGGGTCGGAGCCGGGCTCCGGCCTCCGCGCCGCCTCGGAGCCCCCGGGCCCGGGCTCGGCCTCCGCCCCGCCCCGCCGGGCCCAGCCGGGGCCCCCGCCCAGCAGCAGCAGGATGCGGCCCGGCTGCGGCCCGCCCCCCGGGCCCGCGCCCGTCCCCGCGCCCGCCCCTAGCTCCATGGTGCCGCCCGGGGCCTCGGATCCAGCTCCGCGAGCCGCCGTATCAGCTACGGGCCGCGTCCGGCCGGAGGCTCCCGCTCAGCCTGCCACGCCCCCTCAGTGCCTATTGGCCAGCCGCACGGTCCGCCCCGCCCACCAGCGGCCTCTATTGGCCAGTCTCGCCATCCGCCCGCCTGCCGACAACTTCTATTGGTTAGCCGCGCACTAGACCCCCATACATGCCCAGTTCCCATTGGGCAGCCGCTCCCTCCGACACACTCATCCACAACGCCTACTGGCCAGCCATGTCTTCAGCCCCGCCCATCCACGGAGCCTATTGGCCAACTGATCCTTTGCTCCCGTCCATCTGAAGAGCCGATTGGGCAGCCGATCTTTGACCTTTTGTCCCCTTCGAGCTTTATTGGTTCCTCCTGTCCCTCAAAATCGCCATTATCATGGCAGAGGAGCAGCTATTGGGTTTTTCGGCTGCCACTCAGAAACCCGGGTCTTGATTGGCTCTTGCTTCGCGTTCCAACGCGCGTGTTATTGGTTTGATGGCCCCTGATTGGTTCTTTCATGATGGTGACGCCCAGGGGCGGAAGCGGGATAAGCGTTAGCTGGTACCGCGATTGGCTAAGAAGACCCAAAATTGAGCGCGTATCTTCAGATGACCCCGCCCAAAGGGGCAGAATCACACTGAGGCCTCTGCGATTGGCCCGCACTCCGGTGACATTGGCCAAAGAGAGGGAGCCACTGATCAGAGACTCGGGGCTTGATTGGCCACGACCGTGACGTAAAAGGAAACGTTGGGCTCTGCCGGCCGGGGCAGCGCAGCGTCCCTTTCATTCTGATTGGCTCCTCACTCTGCGGGGGCGGAGTTCCGGCGCAGGACAGGGGATCGATTGGGTTTTGGAAAGATGGGCAGGTCCAATACGATCCATTCAGATGGCGAAACGTGGGGAGCCCGCCCCCTCCCTCATGCGGGCCTCTCATTGGCTGCCGGCTGTCGCCCTGGTGACGTGGCTACCGCTGCAGCGTCCCCGGCGCAGCTTGCGGCGAGGAACGCTCGGGCCCGGCGGGGACCGGGGAACTCCCCGCCACTGGCTCCCGGCCCGGCCCTGATGGCGGGGGCGGCCCGCGCCCGCCCGCCCGCCGGCGCCCCTGGCCAGGCCAGCGGGGCGGGGAGGTGACGCGCCGCGGCCGAGTCCGCGAGCGGGGCCCATGGCCAGGTGAGAGGCGGGGGCCGCACGGAGCCGGCGGGCCGGGCCCCGCAGGAAGCGCCGCGCTCAGGGACCGCCAGCGCTGCCCGGCAGCCTCGGCTCCGCCCTGGGCCCGGGGGTTCCTTCCAGCCGGGTGTGTCGCGTGTTCCCCGCCCGAGAGCCGCCGCGCCGCGTGAGGCAGGCAGGGCCCTGGGCCTCCTGGCCCGCAGGGAGAACCGAGGCTCCGTGACTCGTCCCGTCACACGGGGCTCAGTGGCAGCGCAGCGACTTGAACCCAAGGCCCGTGTCCGCCTCCTCTCGTCTGCACCCTGCTCGGTTTGTCTGTAGCAAGCGGGGGGCCGGACCTCCTCCGAGGTTTGCTGCAGCTTCCAAGGGCCGGTGACTCATTGTTTCTCGTGTCTGACCCGTCTTTTGACCCCCTTTTCGCAGGAACTACAGCGCCTTGAGGGGTGAAATGGATAGGTGGGATCCCTTGGTTTGTGGCTGCGTGTAGAGAAAGTTGTATGCAGTATTGTTGTCGTCATGTTGGTCCCAGGATGTTACAGAGACGGGGGTGCGGGTGTCTTTTGTTGGACCAGCTTCTGTGGGTGAGAGAGATGAGCTGTCAAGCTTACACAGCTCTGGGAAATGTACTCAGGGTGTCACAGCTAAGTACAAGATGGAACAGATCGTTTAGCATAAGTAGTTAACACACGTTTCAAGGTTAAGTGACCAGTTAACATTTCTCCAGTCATGGGAGGCCGGGGGCGGGGGAGAGGCTGTGGGAGCAGGTTTGCGGGTTACAGATGGCTGTAATGAGCAATCAACACTCTGTCCTATTGTTCAGAAAATGAGTGAAGAGCATGGAGTACGTTTACATTACACTAATGCTGCTACTTACTAGAGTCTCCATCTTCCAGCAATTTCCTTAACAATACTTCTAGAGTAAAATCAGAGTCTGCACATACATTTTAGAGCACTTTGAAATATTAACTCTTAAACCAGAAGTGTTGCTCTTAGGCAAGACTTCCAGAAAACACCCATGCAGAACACTGGCAAGGCGCAGCTAATGTGTTGAACACACAGTCTCCGAAAGCTGCAAAAGCAGGACTCAAACTGGCAGTGGATGGGTGCTGCTCTGGGTCAGTGACCACCCACTTACTCTGCTGTCAGGGTACCTGCAAACACTCTGACTTGCAATAGCCTAGTCCTGCTTCAAAGACACAAATAACTTTCTCTAGCTTGTCGGTTTTGCTCAAGCCACATTGTAAGTCCAGCTTTTCTTCCTGAATAGTTTTAAAAATATTGTTTCCCCAAAGGGGCAGTGGGTGTTTGACTAAAGCTATGATCAATCCTGAGCAGGTTGGGGAGAGTCAGAGCCATAGTTTGAGCCCCAGATGCGCCAAAAATATTATGAAAACTGTAAATTTTTGATGTCACATGTTTTTCTGGGGGGGAAGGGAAGGGCATCTGTGTCTTGGGAACCCCTTGCTCAAATGTCCTCCCATTTGGGTTGCTATCCTTACCCCAGCCCCATGAGGCACAGCAAATTTCAAGACCATCCAAGTCAGCATTTGGATTTTAGAACACTTAGAAAATTTGGCTACTAAACAATAAATTTGTCTCAGCCTTAGCTATAGTGATGGTACTGTCCCACTACCTCTCATGAGTGAGTAGCTCATCTCAAGGGTAGCAAGGATCCAATGCTGCGGGGGGAGGGAGACAGGAGGGCATTGCAGGGGAGGCTGCAGGGTGGGGTGGGGGAAGAGGTGGGGATTCAGTGGATATAGTGTACTTAGATTTCCAGAAAGCCTTTGACAAGGTCCCTCATCAAAGGCTCTTACGTAAATTAAGTTGTCATGGGATAAGAGGGAAGATCCTTTCATGGATTAAGAACTGGTTAAAAGACAGGGAACAAAGGGTAGGAATAAAAGGTAAATTTTCAGAATAGAGAGGGGTAACTAGTGGTGTTCCCCAAGGGTCTGTCCTAGGACCAATCCTATTCAACTTATTCATAAATGATCTGGAGAAAGGGGTAAAAAGTGAGGTGGCAAAGTTTGCAGATGATACTAAACTGCTCAAGATAGTTGAGACCAAAGCAGACTGTGAAGCACTTCAAAAAGATCTCACAAAACTAAGTGATTGGGCAACAAAATGGCAAATGAAATTTAATGTGGATAAATGTAAAGTAATGCACATTGGAAAAAATAACCCCAACTATACATACAATATGATGGGGGCTAATTTAGCTACAACTAATCAGGAAAAAGATCTTGGCGTCATAGTGGATAGTTCTCTGAAGACGTCCACACAGTGTGCAGCGGCAGTCAAAAAAGCAAACAGGATGTTAGGAATCATCAAAAAAAGGATAGAGAATAAGACGGAGAACATCTTATTGCCCTTATATAAATCCATGATACGCTCACATCTTGAGTACTGCGTACAGATGTGGTCTCATCTCAAAAAAGATATACTGGCATTAGAAAAGATTCAGAGAAGGGCAACTAAAACGATTAGGGGTTTGGACGGGTCCCATATGAGGAGAGATTAAAGAGGCTGGGACTTTTCAGCTTGGCAAAGAGGAGACTAAGGGGGGATATCATAGAGGTATATAAAAACATGAGTAGTGTGGAGAAAGTGAATAAGGAAAAGTTATTTATTTGTTCCCATAATATAAGAACTAGGGGCCACCAAATGAAATTAATGGGCAGCAGGTTTAAAACAAATAAAAGGAAGTTCTTCTTCACACAGTGCACAGTCAACTTGTGGAACTCCTTGTCTGAGGAGGTTGTGAAGGCTAGGACTATAACAGTGTTTAAAAGAGAACTAGATAAATTCATGGAGGTTAAGTCCATTAATGGCTATTAGCCAGGATGGGTAAGGAATGGTGTCCCTAGCCTCTGTTTGTCAGAGGCTGGAGATGGATGGCAGGAGAGAGATCACTTGATCATTACCTGTTAGGTTCACTCCCTCTGGGGCACCTGGCATTGGCCACTTTCGGAAGACAGGATACTGGGCTGGATGGACCTTTGGTCTGACCCAGTATGGCCATTCTTATGTTCTTAATTGGTGTGTATGGGGTGGGAGGAGGAGGTAGAGGAGAAATCTGGGTGTTTAAAAAACAAACCAACCCCCAAATCCATCCACTAGCATAACGTATAACTGACAGACCATCACACCCCAGTGTACTATACACCCCTTCCTGCTGCCTTAGGGTGTGGACAGTGCCAAGCACACTGGGAGCCAGTGGCAGGCTGGACAGTGCATCTGCACCTATGAAGGAGGGCCTGGGGACATTCCTGGTAAGTGAGTAGGAGGCAGTGTGGGCTTGAGGGCCCTGTAGGATCCTCCAGGTACCTGCTGGCTTCTTGTGCTCTCACTGCTCCCTTCTGTCCTCTTTCAGAATCAGCATTTCCTGCCTGTGCCCAGCATCATGGCATTTCACTGTGCCCCTGGTGAGCCTGTGTCCCCGTCAGCGATTGGCCCTGCTGGGACTCTTTCTTGGAGTCTGTCTCCTGCTACTCATGGCAGCCACAGATCTGCGCCGTTGGCGCTCCTCTCCCCCCCCAGACAAGCAGTTTGAGAGGTGAGTGAGCCCTGGGTTGGAGTCTCTTCATTGTGCCTGGCAAGGGAAGAGGAGCTTTGGCATCACAGGCATTTCAGAAACTTGGTGAAATGACAAATCAGTGGGACGCTGTATGACTTGGCTGTGGATTAGATTATACAGGCAGGATAGATTATGCCATGAAGGCAGGGCAGCCGACCAGGACACAGAGAAGATTCCGTAGAATCTAGCGAGAGAATTTTTGAGGGGAGTGGACCACATAGCAGGATCTGTACACATCCTAACCCATAAGAATGTGATTATACGTGTCTGGTTAGCAGTCTCCTGCCCAGAGACTGGAGACTGAATGCACAAAGTGGAGAGGGATCAAAGTCTAATGAAAACAGTAATAATGTGTGACTTGGTAATAAGCTAGTGATATGTCTCAGCAGGACAAGGTTTAGAGAAGCCATTTCTTGATACCTTAAACAACTGCTTCTTGAAACTGCTAGTTCCAGAGCACACAAGGAGAGAGGTTATTCTCACCTTAGTCCCGAGAACATGCAACAGCTGATTTAAGAAGGAGGCACGGCTGATCTATTAGGTGGTCTTGACAACAGTATAATCAAGTTTAGCATCCTCAGGGGAGAGAGGGTTGGCACAATAAACTTCAGAAAGGGGGATTTACAATAAAATATTTACAATAGAGACTCAACAATAAAAAAATAAGGAAATTAAATTCCTTAGACTGCCTGGAAGCTTCTTACACAAAACATGTCCCCCTCTGTGTATAGACAACAGCTCATAGTAAATTGTTCAGAGAAACAGAAACATTGTACTAGTATAGGGAGCTCTGTGCCTTGCTTTCACTCTTTGCTCAGAGCTGTTACCTTCATCCTCACTAGCACTACTTCCTCTGGGGTTTCAGGCAGATGATCCTGCCAGTTGCACGTGTTGGACCTCCCAGCCACTTAGCCCTTTTCTGTCAGACTTCTGAAGAACAGCACAGATGACAGAAATGTTATGCAGTTTACTTCTCTCTGAGTGACCCCTGGTCTTGAGTCCCCTATCTTCTCCATACCTGACGGGTAGCATCCAGCAAGGGAAGTGTGGTGCTTTGCATTCACCCACAGTTCCTCTCCAAGATGATATTGTAATTTAAAGTTAAAAGACCCTTGGTGCTCTCCTTGGAGTGGACTAAATCCCTCAGCAAGTCTACCCAACTCCTTCTTTCTCCGGGCACCAATTCAGTGGACAGTGCTGTTCCCAAGAGTACTAAGGATGTCGGACCGCATGTCACATTGCATCTGTCATCTGGCTGGCCTGAAACTAGAAGGCAACGCTAGGCTGCCGCATCAGCCTGTCTCAGGGGTGTCTCCATCACAGCTATGTGCAAAGCTGCTCTGTGGTCCTCTCCCCTGACGTCCCCAAGTGTCAGTGCTTGCATTGGCTACCAAGGAGGAGTCCTGTTTCAGCCCCTCCACCCTACAGAACTCATTTCCAAGACAGAGAGGCCAAACTCTCCTGCCCCCAGGAAAAGCTTTGTTCTCTCTTGGGGAGCCCAGGATTAGCAGTTGGCCAACTATTTTTACAGGGCTGTGTCCCTAATTGCTGCTCCTCCTGCGCGTTGAATGTTGTCTGAAGCTGCCCTTGAAAGAAGGGATTTGCTCCTTTCTGGGTCTGTGTTTCTACATGTGGATTAAAGAAACTCCTCCCGTGGCCATTGCTTCTCATTGCAACTTCTCTCTCTGGCTGGAGCATCCCTTGAGCTCCTTATGCCCCCGGAGAGAGAGTCCTGCACAGATGGAATCTGTAGAGAAATGGCCAGTCAGGGCTCTGCCAGTGACAAGACTGGGGCCTGGGTTGCTCTTCTGAAGAGCTCATCCATCAGGATGCTCCCTTCCGCCACCCCCAGGTTGGAGGGGCCTCTCTCTTCCCCGCCCATTAATTTTCATGCCTCATTGGACATTGAGCCTCTCGATTTGGCTGTTTTTCCTGGGAATTTTGTGTCCTGCATAATGGAGGGACTATGTGGAAAGTTCGTGAGGGAATGGCATGGGAGTGGCACGTGACTGACATGAAACTGCCGTGCTATTGCTGCCCGTAAGCTCTGGGGGAGCTCCAGGGGTCTCGCATGGCAGGGCTGAGAGGCCAGAGTGAGTCCTGCTGGAGCAGCATCTCCAGAGACCCAGGATCACAAGGTCAGTAATTTTTCCCCTCCCTTGTCAGAGTGCCGAGGGCTCTGGCTGTAACACAATTACTCCAGAAGCACAGGGCCAGTGAGGCGCCAGCTCTGTGCTGGGCAGTTCCACTTTCAGTACCAGCTCCTGGGGCTCAGGGAAGGGCAGGCATGTCCCCCCGGTGCTGCTGTAATTGAGTTGAGGTTGTTTATTGTCCATATTATAGCCCGGGGGTCATCGGAGCCTCGTGGAAGCGGATGCTCTGGGCTGGGTAATGGTGCTGAGCCAGGGCATCCTAATTCTGTTATCACTTTTACTAATGGAAAAGTGAAGCTGCAGCCCCTGGTTCTGCCCTGCCTGCCTGCGTGCGGGCAGCTAGCATTGCGCTGACTCAGCCAACGGGCACAGCCGCATTTGCAGCCGGCGGGGGGCCTGCGAGGGAAGGGATCAATCAGCCATATTGATCTCCTGCCCTGAGGATCCAGGGAGGGAGTCTGGAGCTTTCTTGCCACTTTGGAAGCAGAGCTCTGAGGGCAAGTACTTTGTGCAGCATCAGCAGAGCCTACAGCGTGGGCGAATGTGGAGCGAAGGCCCCATCAGTCTGTGGGTGGTTACACCTGCCCTATGGCCTCTGGAAGGACAGACCAGACATTGTGTGGGGGCGAAGCCCTCCTAGGGTTCGCTGTTAAGTTCATGTCCCCGGACTCTGCCATCAGCCACGGCCAAGGCCCTACAGTGCCCCTGTCTGATGGGTGTGTGTGTGGGGGGGGGGTGACTCCTCCCTGACTCCTACAATCACTGGTTGATGTTCTGACCCGGATATTCAGTCCCCTGTGGCTGACGCCGAACGGTTGGCGTGAGCTCTGTCCTGCAGAGAGGAGAGCTGGTAGACACCTCTCCTGGCTGCTGGGGTGGTGGGGGCCGGTGTCTGAGGAGCCTGCCTAGCTACAGACACTGTGAGTGGAATTTCCCCAGCATCACAGCTGCCCTGACTGCACGGGATCCCTCCCAGTGCACCCTGGGTGGAACTGAGTCCTTGCTGGCTCGTCCCATCTGCTCTCCATTCTCCTTCCCTGTGTAAGGCCCACCCAGGTCTCACCCATAGGGAGGCAGAGTGCTACACGTTCTCGCGAGGCAGTGTTGTGTGGAACAGGCTGCCTCCCAGCGCTCATGCTAGCCTGATCTTGGCCATGCCCATGTTGCTATGGGGCTGTGCCTTGGGTGGCCCTCTGCTCCTCCTGCCTATTGGGCTGATCCTCCCTTTTCTGCTGTCCCAGGTACCTGGCACGGGTGGGAGACCTGCAAGCTACAGACACAGAAGACTCAACGCTGAACTACGGGATTGTCGTTGATTGTGGGAGCAGTGGCTCCCGGGTCTTTGTGTATTTTTGGCCGCCGCACAATGGGAATCCTCATGACCTTTTGGACGTCAAGCAGATGAGAGACCAGAGCAGCCAGCCCGTTGTCAAGAAAATCAAGCCAGGTCTGTGCCCCTTCTTCCCTACGCGAGCCCCTGCTGCAAGGGTGGAGGATTGATCGCTTGCTCTTCCTTTAGTGCAGGTGGGGACAGGGCTGGTGAAGGAGCTCATCCACTCTGTAGTCTGGGGCAGTGATCTCATCCCTTCGCCTCCCTCAGACCGGGGGGCAGTTTACATGCTCTTAGTCCCTGCCCTGTGTCTGAGTGACAGAGCTTTGGTCCCAGAGCAGCACTTCTAGGCTGCCTTTCTATGTGTGTATGTGATACGGATTTCTTACTCGTTTCCCCTTTCCCCATGCAGGGATCTCCGTGCTGGCTACAACTCCTGAGCAAGCCAGTCACTACATGCGCCCGCTGCTCAGCTTCGCTGCAGCTCATGTGCCGGTAAAGAAGCACAAGGAGACTCCGCTCTACATCCTGTGCACGGCGGGCATGAGGCTGCTGCCTGAGAGGTGAGTGCTCCCCATTGCACCTTGCTTGTGTCACTGGGTTCCACCGGCATTGGGGGCACCCAGTCACTTGGCGAGCCAAGGAGGGCAGGGAATTCCTGAGAGAACCCTGGTGCCCCTCGCAAGGGAGAAAGGAGCATGCTGCTCTGAGACCAGCCAGCAGGTGTGCTGGGGGCAGAGGGGATGGCTTGGGGAAGCTCAGTATGTGGGGACAGAGGGTTGGCTTCAGGAATCCTGGAAGGGTGTGGATGGGGGTGTTGGAGTCACTGCAGCCTTTGTGATGAGGGACAACATTTCAGTCTCAAATGAAGTAGCTGAAATCCCAACCCCCCAGCTCCAAACCAGAGTGGGCATGTTGCGGGGGATCCATTGTGCCCTAACCCAAAGGGAAGGAGAGGCAGCCGTTGGGCAGGATGCTCACTGTCTCTCCTGTGCCCCCTGCAGGCAGTGGGGGAATGCTCACTGCCTGTCTCCTGTACCCTCCGCAGACAGCAGGCTGCGATCCTGGAGGACTTGGTGAGGAATGTGCCCCTGGAGTTTGATTTCCTCTTCTCCGAGTCGCAAGCTGAAGTGATCTCAGGGAAGCAGGAAGGTAACAATACCTAGCTCCTCTAATACCTATATATGTGTTATGAGTAGGGAGCCTGGGGGAGATGAGACTTCACTGCAGCCACTGTTGGCCCAGGTGCCTGTAGGAAGTGGCTTGGCTGCTCCCTCCTGCGGAGTGTGGTTCTGGGGGCAGGTGGTGCTAATTGTTTGTATGGGAGGAGGGGCTGGATGCCGGAGTGGGGATCAGTGCTGCACAGGTGTTGTGGGAGCCCCGGTGCATGCTCTGAGAAGGTCTCGCGCTGAGGCCAGACAGCATAGGCAGGGCGAAGACGATGGGTCTTTGTACACACTGTTCCCTGCCACTGAGCCGATAATGCAAACTCGCCAATCGGCTGGGCTCTGCGCTCCCTTAGGTCTGATGGAACTGCCCTGTCAGATGCTGAAAGAACCCCCAGAGTGCTGCTCCTTCTGCAGTCCAGGGACTGCAGATTCCAAGAGCTAACTCTGGCTCCAGCATCCTGGCTGCTGCGGGCGCTTTGCCTAACGCACTGGTTTGTGTCTCCCCCCCCCAGGGGTCTATGCCTGGATTGGGATCAACTTTGTCCTGGGGAGATTCGATCACGAGGAGGGTGAGTCCAGCCAGTGCCTGCGTCTCTCTCTAGCTTGTGGGGCTGGGGCGGGTGGAGCTCTGCTGGAGTTGACCCAGCACGCAGAGCAAACCAGGGCCTGGCACGTTGACAGCCCCTGCTCCAAGGCACCAGTTCCGCGCTGCAGAGGAGGAAGAGTCCCTGAGCCCCAGTCGGGTGGGGAGAGTGAGGTAGTGGAGAGCTGGGGGTCAGTAGGGTGGTGGGGCAGCGATGAGAGAGGATGGGAGGGGGAGGGGGCAGGGCAGTAGAGATGGGATGGGGTGGTGTTTGGAGTTGGTGTCTCAGGATGTTGTAAGAGCAGAGGCTTGCAGGGATGGTGGGATCTCTTTAGTTGCCGTCAGCCATTTATGCCACTTTGTGGAGCTCCCTGCATTAGGCAGCAACCAGATGGGATCCTGCCCCGTCCCTGTCCCCCCACAGAGTTTGGTTCCCAAGGCCCTGAGCTGGTGGGTGAGGGGGCAGGGAGGCTGCCCTGTGAGGTTGGTTCCTGGGACCCTGTCAGGGGTGTGCAGGGCAGGAGGCTGCCCTGTGCACTTTGGTCCCTGGGTCCTGCTAACGTACTCCTGTGGGCTGCAGAGGAGGATGCGATGATCACTGTGGCCCTGGGGGGTCAGGCGGAGTCCCTGGTGCGGAAGCGGACGGTGGGGATCTTGGACATGGGCGGTGCCTCTCTGCAAATCGCCTATGAGGTGCCCAGCATGGAGACCTTCTCCTCCCCACAGCAGGTGCGTATCTTGCCGCCAGGGCAGGAAAGCAGCCCTTGCAGTCCCCAGGCTTGGCCCTGCTGCTCACCCCTCTCTCTGCCCTAGGAGGAGGCTGCCAAGAGCCTGCTGGCTGAGTTCAACCTGGGCTGCGACGTGCAGCACACGGAGCACGTGTACCGTGTCTACGTCAGCACCTTCCTGGGCTTTGGGGGCAACTTCGCACGGCAGCGCTACGAGGAGCTTGTGCTGAACCAGACCCGCTCCCACAACAGGTAACGCTGCCCCAGGCTCAGCACCTGCCTGCAGGGGGGAGTTTCTCGAACGTCCCAGCCCCTGGAGCTGTAGGGCCCATAACAGGAGGGTGACCTGTGTGAGGTCTAATCTCAGCAATCTCTGCAGAAGCCTAAAGGGTGATGGTGTAAGATGACTGCTTTAAAACGGCCCCCATTAGTCTGCAGGGCTACCCCCCATGGGTGTGCATTGGAGCTGGAGGTCCTGCTGTCTGAGTATGCGGGAGCCAGCATGTGGGCAGTCAGGGTTCTATTGGCTCATGCTAACAACCATTGGCCCTGCAGGGCCAGCCCAGCCTGTGGGGGGGCTGGGTTCTAGGCACTCCCCTGGAGGGAATCTCAGCTCCAGCTGGAGGGGCATGCGCAGGGCTCACTGCCCTTGTTTTTATCTGTTTGGGGGACTCCCCAGTGCTCACCCCTGTTCTTATGGGATGCTCTCCTGTTGCATGGGATATCCCAGAGGGTGATGAGTTGTGATGTTAAGCTCCCTCCAGCCAACTTCTCTCCAGGCAGCTGACTCCTCAGCTCTCCAGCCCATCCTCTCCTGGGATTGATGCTGGGTGCCTCCCCCCTGTGTGGGCAGTGCCTCCCTGCAGCCCATGCCAGCCTGTCTCTGGACCCCACCATGGGCTTGGACGGCACCAGGGCCCTCTGCAGAGGTTTGCGGACTGGAGGGGGTGTTTGCTTGTGCCAGTCAGGGTGAGATTCTGCAGCAGGTTCAGGCAGATGGATGAGGAGGCAGCAGCTAGTGCAGCTGTATGACCACACGTGGCCCTAGCGCCCAGAGCACAGCGCTGCCCTTCCCAGTACCCACTGCACCCTGGAGTCTGTTGTGCCTCAGTTCCTCCCCTCCCTCAACCTGGCCTCTCCCTCGTCCCCCAGTGGGGTGACCCAGCTGCAGGAGCCCATGTCAGCAACTCTTCTCCCGCTCCACCCTGATCCAGTCTCTCTCTCGACGACGTTTCTCTCCTGCTCTCCATTTCTCTAACGCCCGTCTCGGAATGCCATGTGGAGTTGTAGCCAGGGCCAGAGACACTCAGTGCCCAGAGCAAACCTCCCTGCCAGAGCTTCAGGGGTAGTCTAGTGCCGGTAACCCTGTTTCTGCTGCTGAGGCCTGGGGCTGTGTCCTCCCGTTGGGTGGGCAGAGTGTCCCTTTGGCAGCTGTGTGCTCTTTGCTGCGTGTGCTTGTCAGGTGGGCAGGGTGTGTAGCGGTGGGCTGCGCTTGCTGGGGTGTGCCCAGGGGGTGACTCAGCACTCAGAGGGGTATTCCCAGTGGCTGGGGCAGGGGGCACAGCTCTGTCAGTGCAGAGCCCTGTTAATCAGTCTCTTCCCTGGCTCTTGTTCCAGGCTGCAGGGCCAGCAGATGGGGACAAGCGCTGAGACACCCTTTCTGGATCCCTGCCTGCCTGTGGGGCTCGAGGACACAGTAGAAAGGGGTGGCCAGACCCTGCATGTCCGAGGGCAAGGAGACTGGCAAACCTGTGCACAGCTGCTGCGTCCTCTGCTGGCAGGGGTCAACAGCAGCCAGGCCTCCCTGACCCACACTTACCAGGCGCCCATTGACTTCAACAACAGCGAGTTCTACGGCTTCTCTGAGTTCTTCTACTGTACTGAGGACGTGCTGCGTCTCGGGGGCCACTACCATGCACCCAGCTTCACCCGCGCTGCCCAGGTGAGAACTGCCCTGACCTAGTGCCTGGGGGCTGGGGACTGGGCTGCACCTGGAGGGCCACTCTGCCCAGGTGAGCACCACCCTGACCCAGGGGATGTGCTGTGCTGGGGGATGAGCATGTTACTTTGTGCCCGGATTCACTTGTACCGCCCTGACCCTTCTCTAGCTCCCATGGGGATCCTTCCCTGACAGGGTTACTGGCCTAGTGGATGGGGGAAGCAATAGATGGGATTTCTTGGTTTTTAGTGAGCCTTCTGGTGCATTCTCAGAAACAAACTAGGGAAATATGGCCTAGATAAAATTACTGTAAAGTGGCACACAACTGGTTGAAAGACTGTGTTTGCTGTCAAACTGGAAGGGTGTACCTGTCTAGTGGGGTCTGATGGGGTCTGCCCTTGGTCTGGTGCTATTTAAAATTTTCATTAATGACTTGGAGAGTGTGCTTATAAAATGTGCAAATGACACCAAACTGGGAGGCGGTTGCTGGCACTATGGAGGACAGGATTAGAATTCAAAATGACTCTGACAAAGTGGAGAATTGGTCTGAATTCAACAAGATGAAATTCAGTAAACAAGTGCAAAGTGCTTCATTTAGGAAGGAAAAATGAAATGCACAACCACAAAATGGGGACTAACTGGCTAGATGGCAGTACGGCTGACAAGGATTTGGGGGTTAGAGTGGATTGCAGATTGAGAATCAATAATATGCAGTTGCAAAAAAGGCTAATCTCATTCTGGGGTGTATTAACACGAGTGTTATATGTAAGACACAGGAGATAATTGTCCTGCTTTATTTGTCACTGGTGAAGTGTCAGCTGGAGCACTGTGTCCAATCCTGGGCACCATACTTGAGGAAAGATGTGGATGAAGTGGAGAGAGTCCAGAGGGGAGCAACAAAAATGACAGGTTTAGAAAGCCTGACCTATGAGGAAAGGGTAAAATAACTAGGCATGTTTAGTCTCGAGAAAAGAAGGGGGGGGGGGGGGGGAGATGTGGTGATAGTTGACAAATCTGTTAAGGGCTGTTCTAGAGACAGCGGAGATCAATTGTTCTCCATGTCCACTGAAGGTAGGGCAAGAAGTAACAGGCTTAACGTGCAGCAAGGGGGATTTAGATCCGATATTAGGAAAAACTTTCTAATTATCAGGGTTGTTAGGCTCTGGACTTGGCTTCCAAGGCAGGCTGTGGAATCCCCATCACTGGAGGTGTCTAAGAACAGGTTGGACAAACACCTGTCAGGGATGGTCTAGGTTTACTTGGTCCTGCTTCAGTGCAGGGGGATAGACTTGAGGTCCCTTCCAGCCGTACATTTCTGTGATTCTATTTGCTATGCTGGAGGGGAGTGCAGTGTCACTGGTGCTGCCCTGTGCCTCCTGACATAGTGCTGACAGTGCTCTCTCTCCCTTGCTGCCCCAGGATTACTGCGGCCTGAGCTGGTCAGTGCTGACTCAACGGTTCCAAGAGGGCCTGTACTCACCACATGCAGACCAGCATCGGGTCAAGTAAGGAGCTTCCCCTCACCACGAGCACAGCTGGGGCTCCTGTCAGTGTGTGTCTAGCACCAGGGGCTCTCAGAAGCAGGAGGCCCTGGTATCTGGCTGATTGTCCCATGTGCTCTGTCTGTAGGTATCAGTGCTTTAAATCTGCCTGGATGTACCAAGTCCTTCATGAGGGCTTCCACTTTCCCCTGGATTACTCCAGCCTGCACACGGCCCAGCTGGTGTACGACCGTGAGGTGCAGTGGACCCTGGGAGCCATTCTCTATAAAACACGGTTTCTGCCACTCAGGTAAAGCAAATTTGAGGTGGGAGCCCAGGGGCTGCCCCCAGTGCTTGGCCTGCAGAGGGGCAGGGCATTGCCTGAGGGGATTCATAGATTCCAAGGACCATTGCGATCATCTCATCTGACCTGTATAGCACAGGCCAGATAACGTCCCTACAGTAACCCCTAGGGCAGAGCTTATAGAAAAACATCCCATCTTGATTTAAAAATTGTCGGTGATGGAGAATCCTCCACGACCCTCGGAAGATTGTTCCACCTTGCAGTCGCACACCAGCTCGAGCTCCTGGCTACTCCAGTCCCAGCAGCGGCACTGTAGGGAGCAGGGCAAAGGCAGTGGCTGTAAGGGGAGAGCCTGACCTTTCCCAGCAGGGGGCACTGTAAGTGCAGGGAGTAAGCCAAGGTGCATGTGCTGCATTGCCACCTTTCATGTTAATTCTTCAGTGGTGGGTGCTGACCTCTCTTCCTTTCTCTTTCCTCCCCACCTAGGGAACTCCGGCAGGAGAGCAGCCGACAGGCCCACAGCCCCTGGCTCCGCCTGTCCTTCGTTTACAATCACTATCTCTTCTTCGTCTGCATTCTGGTGGTGCTGCTGGCCATCATCCTCTACCTACTGCGGCTGCGCCGCATTCACAGACGCCAGCTGCGCGCGGCTCCACTCAACCTGCTGTGGCTGGAAGAGGTGGTGCTGTTGCCAGGCCAGGAACTGGGGCCATAACCCTGCCACAGCCCAGGAATCTGTCTGAGCCACAATTCAACCTGCTTCTAGGTTCCAGTTCCAGCATCTGAACTGGAACCTAGACTGGATGACAAGTGCCCAAAGTCTCCTGTCAGGAGATCCATCATCTCCTCCTCCTAGAACCAGCACCAGAGTCTGACAGGTCCCAAGCAGCACAGGACAGGGCTCTGGTGCTTGTCTTTCTGACAAACGCACAGGCCGGAGGGACTTCCTGCTGAGGCAGGAGAGGTGATACCCACTAAGAGGTGGCATCAGCAAGCAGAGCTAGCACTTCCTACTCATGGAAGTGTGAAGGCAGCACAGTTGTAGCATTTCCTCTGATCTGCTGTCTTGCAAACCTATGGAACTCACTGCAACAAGATATCAGTGAGGCCTAGAGTTGGTAGGATTCAGAGGATGACTAGACACTTGAGGGACCAACAAGCACAGCTGCTGTGCCCTCTGAAAAGTCTTAATCGGCTAAGCTAGCTTCTGCCTGCCACGCAGCAGGGATCCCTAGCCCCTAAGTCTCTGTCCTTTGGCCCCGTTGCGGACACAGAGAAGCCCCTGCCCCTCCTGTCTTTACAGGCATGCTGCAGCCTTTGCTCAGTTTTTCTCTCCAAGGGGCAGGACTGGCACCTGGAACCTTGGCCCTGGCTTTATGTGCAGGCTGTGTCTGCAGCAGGCGGAGGATTGGCTGGAGCTGGCCAGCAAGCATGACATGCTCCCTGGCTCCAGGGAGTTGCTGTGACAGCTTGGCCTGTAGTGCCCAAAGGGCCAGAGAACCTCACCCCATCTTCACAGGAGAGGGATTTGACCCAGCAAAAAGGGCTGAGCAGCAGTGAGTCTGTTTCCATTGATGTGTCCTGTTCCCAAGCAGTGGGGTACCCCATAGGGCATAATGCCCCAGTCTGAGCCATGGGGTTTCTTGATTTCAGATGGGGGAAGCACTTGGAAACTTCATAATTCTGTGCTGAACTGGGTTTCTTCTACCAGATGCTGTTTGAATGAACATTCTCCCTATGCCCCCATCCCAGTCTCAGGGCTTTAAGCCTCGCTCCAGCCCATTTCTATTTGGTAAAGAGGTGCACATCCCAGCAGCTCTCACCCTGGGGAGAGGCTCTCTGCTACCTCAGATGGATTACATTTGATGTCTTGTAAGGGCTGATACTGGCCCCAGCAATGGGACTGGAAGAGCCAATAGCTTGTTCTCTGGAAGGGGAGGCAGTGGTTGTCCATGGGTGGGCAGGGCATTCCTCATTCCAATCCTGTCCCACACTCATTTGCTGCCAAATCACTTTCCCTGCCAAGGACAGCAATCCCTCCCCCAGCCAGTGCTGGCTCAACTTGGCCATGGACCTCTGCTATAACCTGGCTCCAGAGGGTAGCTCTGGAATTCTGGCCAGGACTGCACTGGGTCTCTGCAGGGTTCTGAGTCTTCCACTGGAGGAGGGAGGACAGGGCCTGGTCTGCGTCCAGGCCCTGCAGACCCCTTTGTGGTGCAGATAGTCCGGTGAGGAGCACGTTGGGGAACACCTTCCTCCACCACCTCCGCTATGCCTGGCAGCTTTTTTCTCCAGCCTCAGGGTCTTCCAGAAGACCTCTCTGAGCTGCTAGCCTATCAGAGCTGCCTCCAGACACGAAAGCTGCTATTGGTGACCAGATCCATTATAGCTACTGAGGGGGGCAGACCTCCCCTATCTTCATGTGCAGGTGGCAGAGTTCCCCTTGGTGTGCTGGAGGCTGGTCCTGGCAGAAATCACCAGTATCTGAGACCACCTAGACTACAAGTGGGGGGACTGGGTGGAGCCCCAAGCACTTGGTCACAGTCCAGGAGCTGGGGGAGGCCTTGTTACTCACCTCTTGAGTTTTCTTGAGTGGGTCCTGAGAGAGGGTGCTCCCCACCCATCCCAGGCCCCCTCCCCTCCATAATCTAAGCTGGCTGCACACCCTGCAGCCGGTTCGGTTTCAAACTATGCCAAGGGAACACCTATACCTGCTTGTGCGCTACATGTTTCACTTCCACACCATCATGTCCTGCCTGATACTTTGGCCTGGTCTACACTACGACTTTAATTCGGATTTAGCTGCGTTAATCCGAATTAATCCTTAACCCGTCCACACAACGGAGCCAGTTACTTCGAATTAAAGGGCACTTAAAATCGATTTCTGTACTCCACCCCGACGAGCGGAGTAGCACCAAAATCGATTTTGTTAATTCAAATTAGGGGTAGTGTGGCCGCACACCACCGAATTAATGTGGTTAAAATTAATGGGGTAGTGTGGCCGCACACCACCGAATTAATGTGGTTAAAAACCAAATTAATGTGCTTAGTGTGGCCGCGCACAATCGAATTTATACTATCTGTTTCCCAAATTCGAATTATCTAAATTCGAATTAATCTCGTAGTGTAGACGTACCCCAAGTGGTGGGACAATCTACCACCTGTAGAGAGGGTGAGGAACCCCAGTGGGCCAGCCTCTATTCCACATTGGTCTCACACCCCACCAGGGAAATTGAGACCTCCTCCTGGCCCTGGACAAAGTGGCCATATACACGCCCAGGAGGAGGATACTGGGTGCACTGTGACCTAGTTCTGGTCCTCCCTGGTCTCATGCATCCAGGCAGAGTTCCTGTGGGTGGCACCCACTGGCTCCCTAGACAGGTTTGAGGAGCAGTGGGGGTTGTCTGGGGTTCTCTGCTCAGTGTCCCCAGCTGGAACTCCACTCCCATCTGTTATCCTGTATTCATTTGGATCCTTGGTCCAGTGGTCCCTCCCACAAGGCTGAGGGAGGGGCCTTTAGACACAGGTGGTCTTGCACCCACCTGCCTCCTGGACATTCCAATAAGGCCTCCCCTCCTTGGGCTGGGCCCTGCCTCCACTGTTGAATGCACTTGGATTACTTGAACCCCACCTGCTCCAGTTACTAGAGCAATAAACAATCCATCAGCCACCCACAACAGCCTCTTTGTCCATATCTATGCTGGTAACAAGCTCTTGCTGATCATGTTGTCAGCACTCACTCTGGTCTCTGCTGCAGGAGCTCTTCCCCTCCATGCTCTCTGTGGGAAGAGACCCCTAGGTGGAAGCTTCATCTAATCGCAGATGCTGTGCCTCACATCAGACCCTCGCAGTTATCAGCACCTGTTGTTGCCCCAGGTGCTCAGTACAGCATGGGTAGCTCTGATCCAGGCTGCACCTACTGACATGATCACTGCAGAGGGCACCTGCATGAACTGCTGACACCCCAGGGCAGGCACTGCAGTGTTCCACCAACCCCCTGAGAACAGCACAAAGCCTTGCCACCAGGTGTCCTTTAGCTAGGAGGGATATCAGCCCTCCCTAACCCAGCAAGGCACCGGCAGGGGCCTACACCAGAACTGGGGTTACTGAAATCACACAGCCATTGTTATTCCTAGATCAAAGTAGGCTTGAGACACAACTGTGTGCTCACAGCTGTTACAGCAAGGCACCTGGCCTCAGCTGACACTGCCTCCAAGACATGCAGTGCTGAGAAGACCAAGGCTACACACGGAAACAGCACCATGTTACTCCGAAGTAGAGATCAGGGCGGAGTATGTTCTGCACCCTCCCTGAAACTGTTCCAGTGCCAGGCCCAGGCACGGCCCATATTTCTTCGCCCCTGCAGCAAGGTCAGTGTCGGGGGTAGGGGAAGGAAGAGATGCTGCACCTTGGGCTTTTCCTAGACCTTGTAGCAGCGGCAAGGGAGACTAGAGCTGTTGCTGCTAGTCACTTACTAGAAAAACATTTATTTTCACAACACAAATTTAAACACAAAACAAGTCAAATAAATACACTGCAGTTAACCAATAAATATGGGAAAGGGAGGGGTAGGCCAGGACAGTGCCCAGATTGTCAGCACCTGCCCCCCAACCAGAACACACAAGAGGGGGTGAGAGTGGGAACCCACCGAACAGAGAAGAGCCTGGTGTCTGTGGCACCAGCTCCAGGACCTCTCTCAGGGGGAGGGAAAGAGGAGTCCTCTCCCTCTAGACTGACACAGGAGAGTCCCACCCTGACCTACCCACTCACCATGACTTCTAGCAGAGCACTCCCTCCCCATGTCAGCATCCTATCCTCAGGACTCCCCCCCACCCCCCAGAAATAGTCAGCAATGGCCACCAATCAGAACCTCTCTTGAAAGCAGGGATGCTGCTCCAGGGGCCCAGGTAGCACCCCGAGGATGTCTCGGGTTCTGGTTCTCACATGCACAGGCCAGAGGATAGGGGCTGCCAGGCCCAGAAGAGGCCTAAGATTCTAGGGCGGTCTGGTTTGGGGGCAGGATTTCATGCAACAGGAACCATGAGGTTAAACTCAGATCTCCACTCCCCGCTTTAAGGGCTAAACAGAGGCAACTGGTGCTGCTCCCATGCTTGATCAGCAGCACATCAGGGTCCTTGCATCTGTCCTTTAAGCGAAGGGGCAGGGGTGGGCTTCAGCACCAGCCAATTCCTTGGGAACCACAGAGCTCAACCAGCCACTTCAGAATCTCTCCCATGCTAAGGAGGTGGGACTTCCCTCTGCAGCGCCTGGCTCAGAAAGGGGAGCTTGGGCCCAGCTCTGCTAGGGGAACCCCTACTCCTCAGGGCCCATCTTGGGGTGGGGGGTCACGCCTCAGACAGGCTGCACAGGTGGCCCTTTGCTTTTTGGTTCCTCGATGCAGTGGCTCAGGTGTGGTGCTGCAGCTGGTCTGACCTGGGGTCCAGCTCTGGCAGGACGGCACTGGAGGGTGCGGAGGATGGGGCAACATCTGGATTTCAGAAGGAGCTGAGAGAGAGCGATAGGGAGATGTTTAGTGCCAAACTCTTTCCCGTGAAGGGGACCCAAAGAGCCACCCCAGGGAGAGGGAGACCCACTTACAGGGGAGAATGGCCCTCTCCTGGCTGAACCCAGGGATCCTCGGTTTGGCTCCAGAACAGAGCACTAACGGGCAGCAGCAAACCACCTTCCCAAGGAGCCACTGACAGAAACCAAAGCCAACCGGAAACTGCCCGGGGAACTGCAGCGTAAAGCACCCGCTTGCACGAGTTCATTTCTGTAAAGTAACTCTTGCCCCCACCCCAAGCCATGCCAGGGTAGTAGGTCAAGGGAGGGCCTATGCCACAAACCCCCAACTCCTCAACTCCAGGTGGTTTGTCCCACAGGAGGCTCCATTCACCATGCTAGATGGGTGGTGATCTCATCTCCTTCCTGGTACCTTCTGGGCTGGACACAGGTCACTCCCACAGGAAGCGCACATACCAGATGGTCTCATTCTTCAGCTGGGGCCCAAACAGGGGGTTTGCCTGAGCCAAGATGGCTATGAGCCAGCTGCAAAGAACAGACAGTGAGTGACTCTTCCCCCGTGGAGACTGGCAGGAGCTGCCAGGCACTACAGAACACCCCAAAGGGAGGGTACGCTAAGAGGGCACGGGTGGTTCAAACTCAGGGTTTGAATCTGGAGGTGGCCAAGAGTGAAGAAATGTGCTAGGCATCTGGGTAAGAAGCGAGAGGAATTGGAAATTACAGGCTTGTAGCACAGCTACAGTGCAGTAATGCCATAGTGGAGATGCTTCCCACAGCAACAAGAAGGGTTTTCCCCATCGCTGTAGGCACTCCACCTCCCCACACAGCAGTAGCTAGGCTGACAGAAGCATTCTTCCAGCAACCTAGCCAGGTCTACTCAAGTGTGAATTTTCCACACCCCTGAGCAACACAGCTACGCCAATCTACATTTCAAGTGTAGACCAGGCCTTGCTATAGCTGGTATTACTGAGACCCTGTGGGTCAATTCACATGACTGGAATGTTAAAATCACTGGTTACAACCTCTTATAAAGGATGGAGTGGCTAAAAGAGGGGTGTGGGAAAGGTGGCACTCTACCTGAAAGACACTGTTATTGATAACTCAGAATCACAGGTTCTTGAGTGTATATGGATTCACACATAGCCCAGGATGGGGTACTGGGGGGGAGTCTGTTACACAACACTGAATCAAACCAGAGAACAGGTTAAGTTACTCCTTAGGCACATGTGTGTAAGGTGTGGGGGAATAAAACAAAAAACAAAACTGTTGTTGTACAGGGGACTTCTATGTGGGAGATCTGGCTGCATGAGCCCTCCAGCATAAGGAAAACTTAGTTTCTAAAACTTACAATTTTCTAACACAAAAGATGTATTGCTCCCAACATAAGGTAACTACTTTGAACCTCAGTAGAATGGATAAAGACTGATTAATCATTGGACTGGAAGTTGGTGGTTGCCTAGGGGACTAGGGATCATGATTTGATTACATTCAGTATGGACAGAGGACAGTCCCAACTGGTAATTTTTATCTGTCTGTCTGTCTCTCTCACACAGCTTCAAAAGGGCTAATTTCCCAAACCTGAAGAAAATTATGAGTGAAGTTGATTGGGAGGAAAATTTTAGACAGAAAAATGTGAATAAAAATTAGGCGTTTCTTTATGAAGAGCTTCTTAGATGGCCAAAAAACCCACAATTCCATAATCAATAAAGTGGACCACTTTGGCTAAAAGCGTATCCTGGTTCAGTGGGAAAGCGAAGGCAGATATTAGAAATTTATATAAACACACTAGGGGAGAGGGGGAAATGGGGAAAAACAGCAATCGATATAAATTTGTTATGAAGTGTAGAAAATGTATAAGGGAAGTTGAAGACTGCAAGAAAAAGTCCATGGCTGGCACGAAGAAGGTACATTAGCAATAAAAGAAATCCTAACAATGGTCCAGGCCCACTACTTGATGAGATGGTAAAAGAGGCAGAAGTGTTCAATCAATATTTCTGTTCTCTCTGCCCCACTGATGTTCATTTTAGTAAGTTTTGCAATATCAGGGAAATTCCAGAAGAGTGCTAATGTGCCAAAAGGGCAAGTGGGATTACCTAGGTAATTACAGGCTGGTTATCTTGACATCAGTCACAGGCAAGCTAATGGAAAAGCTGATACCACCTCAAATCAATAAAGAATTAAAGGATGGGAATATATATATAATTAATGCCAGTCAACATGGTTTTATGGAAAACAGGTCTTGTCAAACAAACTCAGCTTCATTCTTTGATGAGATTACAAATCTGATTGATAAAGGTAACCGCGTAGTTGTAATATACTTAGACTTTTGTAAGGTGTTTGACTTAGTACCACATGACATTCTGATTAAAAAATTAGCACTATACAATATCTGTAGAGTACACATTAAATGGATTAAAAACTGACTGACAATTCTGAACAGGCAGTTGTCAATGGGGAATCATCATCAAATGGAGGTGTTTCTAGCGGAGTTCTGAGGAACCAGTTCTAGGCTGGACACCATTCAATGTTTTTATCAACAGCGTGCAAGTAAATATAAAAGCACTGCTGATAAATCTGCAGAAGACACTAAGATTGGCAGAATGGTAAATAATGATAAGAAGAGGACAGTCACCTAGAGTGATCCGGATCACTTGATAAACTGGGCCCAAACAACTTGCATGTTAATGCAGCCAAATGCAAGGTCACACCTCTAGGTACAAGGTGTGCAGGCCATCATGTAGAATAAATATAAAACTAGAGAATTAAAGTGAACTTAAGTTTGGTTGAAGAAATGTGTTGTAAGAAAGGCCCTAACTAGCAAGTAAAAGAAACCAAGAGTTCTAAGGGCAGAAGGAAAGAAGTAGGGAGGATGTGTGGCTCAAAGAATAACTGATGAGATAAGAGCATGTTTCTAAAAAGAAGCCTCTGGCGATGGGGGTGACAACAGATGATTTTAAATAAGCCAAACAATCGGTCTTAAAATGAGCCAACATGGCCCTTCCCGACCCATACCAGTGTTATCTTAAAAGTAAAGCCTATGTGAACCCAGGTGCAATGGATAAACTGTTTCTTATTTAGCGTGTGCATAGTTGTGTAGCCAAGTGAAGGGATCTTCAGTGGCGTGATGCAGTTCTTCTAGGCCACCGCTGAACCTAGTCAGCAGGCATTCATCGACTGTGCGTCATCGTCTGTGTTGCATCGCAGCTGCACAAAGGCCCAGCGATACTGGTGGGCTGCACAGAGACCTTGCCCGGTCCGGAACCTGTTCACCAGGGACCATTGGCGACGGGGCAGTTCAAACCCAGTCAGGCAAATTGTGGGATTGGCAATGAGGGACTGGTTGGGGATTATAACATATCCATTCCTCTCGCCAGAGCGTTCCCACCCTAACATCCTGGCCTGGCGGATGAGACCATAATGGGCGACGTGACGGCAAACATGCAGCTGGTGGTTTTAAAAGGTCATTGTGCAGCAGCAGCCTTGAGTTGGCTCATACTTTCTCTAGTAACTTGCCAGTGGCAACCTCTCGTCTGATATGAGGAAGAGCAATATTGCTCAGAACTGGAAGCCATGGGAGTAGAGTCGGACACAGGATGCTGGAGATGATATGCATGGCGGCATGTAACTGCGTATCCGCCAGATTGGTGTGTGATGACAGACTCCAAACTGGTGCGCAGTACTCCGCCACCAAATACGAGGTGGCAAGAGCTGACGTCTGCAAAGTTGGAGCTCGAGCACCTCATGACGAACCTGCCAGTTTGCTAAGAAGATTGTTGCGTGTCTTAACTTTAGCTGTTGTCTTCTTCAGGTGGGCATGGTAACTCAGTGTGCGGTCTAAGGTCACACCTAGATAGAGCAGTTCTACTTCATGCTTCACCTTCTGATCATTCAGATAAACATCCAGTTCTCGGCTAAACTGCTGGGCAGCAAGGAGGGAGGACAGGCCTTGGGGAGAAAGGTGGTTGCAAATGCTATCTGGATTAAGACTGGACATATGGGTGAATTGTCTACAATTGGTTTTCAGTTGAAGTCAGTGCTTGGCTATGACATCACTTGTTTGCTGAAGGGTATAAAAAGCGAACACTTAAAGGGTTCATTGCTAATACCTGCCTGCCCACGTTGGAGCTGAGCAGTATGGGTCCAAGCATCCTTGGGCTTATCGTGCTTGTAAGTATCTTGATCACATGCTTATAAATGTTTTGTTACTGACTGGACATAGTAAACTGCTTATTATTTAGGCATGTTTAGAGCAACTGTATAAATGCCATTCAGGCCTTGGATTTAATAAAAGAATTTCTGGTGAAATAAGTGTCGTGATAATGCCGAGGTAAATAATAATAATTCCAACACTGCCCTACAGAATGCGGGTCTGTATTCCAGAAAGCAGTGACTCCAAGGAATTTAAGGGGTCACAGTGGTCAAGCAACTCTATGTGAGCTCCCCTGCCATACTGTGGCAAAAAGGGCTAATGCATTCTGCAGACGTAAAAACAGGGGAGTAGGAGCACAGAGGTGATTTTACCTCTGTGTAGGCATTGGCGAAGGCTAGCATTGGAATAGAGTCCAGTTCTAGTGTTCATATTGAAAAAAGGATCTTGAAAAACTGTAGAGGGCACAAATGCCTTTGAAGGAGAGATGTTGCTAGTTCAACCTGTTTAGTTTATCAAAACTAAGATGGAGAGGTGAGTTCGTTACAGTGTAAAAGAATCTTCATTAGCAAAAGATACAAGGCACTAAAAGGCTCATCTATCTAGCGGAGAGAGACAGAGCAAGTCAACGGCTGATTGTAGGGACAGGCAAATTCAAATGAGAAAGAAAAGGTTTAAATGTTTAACAGGGAGGGTGAGTAGCCGCTGGAACAGCCTCCCAGGGGAAGCGCTGGATTCTCCCTCTCTTCAAACCAAGCCTGACGGCTCAACACAGGGGAACTGGGGCAAATTTTATGGCGTTTCTGTTATAGGGCTGGTCAGACTAACAGGCCCGCTGCTCCTAGAACTCGCTGGAGCCCACAGCACAGGGCGGGGGGGGGGGGGCCGGGC